CGGCAAAGGTCGTCGGCGTCATCAAACGCAACTGGCGGCAGTACGTCGGACATATTGACCCTTCATCTGCGAGCAAGAGCGGCGGTCAGGGCCGCAAGTCGGACAACGTTTTCCTCATCCCCATGGACAAGCGCATCCCCAAGATCAAGCTGCGCTCAAGACAGGTTTCCGAGCTTCTCGGCAAGCGCTTGTTAGTCACGATTGACGCCTGGGACCGCGATTCCCGGCACCCCGTGGGCCACTTTGTGCGTTCGCTCGGTGAGCTCGAGACCAAGGCCGCGGAGACGGAGGCCCTCCTGCTGGAGTACGACGTGCAATACCGTCCCTTCCCCAAGACGGTGCTCGACTGTCTGCCAAAGGAGGGCCACGACTGGAGAGTACCACAGAGCCTGGAAGATCCCGGCTGGAGGGACAGAGAGGATCTCCGCAAGCTCCTCATCTGCAGTATCGACCCTATCGGCTGCCAGGATATCGACGACGCTCTCCACGCAAGGCCTCTGCCCAACGGAAACTTTGAGGTTGGCGTCCACATTGCCGACGTCTCCCACTTTGTCAAGCCCGCCAATGCCATGGACACGGAGGCCAGCTTGCGAGGCACCACCGTGTACCTGGTCGATAAGAGAATCGACATGTTGCCGATGCTTCTCGGCACCGACCTGTGCTCGCTGAAGCCCTATGTCGAGCGCTACGCCTTCTCCTGTATCTGGGAGATGAACGCCAACGCAGACGTCGTCGGCGCCCGCTTCACCAAATCCGTCATCCAGTCCAAGGAGGCATTCAGCTACGAGGCGGCCCAGCTCCGCGTCGACGACGCCTCGCAGCAGGACGACCTCACCAACAGCATCCGAACGCTCATGATGCTGTCCAAGAAGCTGAAGCAGAAGCGCATGGACGCCGGCGCCCTCAGCCTGTCCTCCCCCGAGGTCAAGGTGCAGATGGAGTCGGAGACGTCGGACCCCATCGACGTCAAGACGAAGCAGCACCTCGACACAATGTCCCTCGTCGAGGAGTTCATGCTTCTCGCCAACGTCAGCGTCGCCGCCAAAATCTACGAGGCCTTCCCCCAGACCGCCATCCTCCGCCGCCACGGCGCCCCGCCAAAGACAAACTTTGACGAGCTCTCGAACCAGCTGCGCGTCAAAAAGGGTCTCGAGCTCCGCGTCGACTCGAGCAAGGCCCTCGCCGACTCCCTCGACACCTGCGTCGACCCCGTCGACCCCTTCTTCAACACCCTCGTCCGCATCATGGCCACCCGCTGCATGATGTCCGCCGAGTACTTTTGCTCGGGCACCCAGGCCTACCCGGAATTCCGCCACTACGGCCTCGCCTCGGAAATCTACACGCACTTCACCTCCCCCATCCGCCGGTACGCCGACCTCGTCGCCCACCGCCAGCTCGCCGCCGCCATCGGCTACGAGGCCATCCACCCGGCCGTCCGCAGCCGCGGCCGCCTCGAGGCCGTCTGCAAGAACATCAACGTCCGCCACCGCAACGCCCAGCTCGCCGGCCGCGCCAGCATCGCCTACTACGTCGGCCAGGCCCTCAAGGGCCGCGTCGCCGAGGAGGAGGCCTTTGTCATGAAGATCTTCAGCAACGGCTTCGTCGTCTTGGTCCCGCGGTTCGGCATCGAGGGCCTGATCCGGCTGCGTGACCTCGCGGAGCCCGAGCCCGAGAGTACCTTTGACGCGGAGAATTACGTCCTTACCACAAGCGGGAGCAAGGAGCTGCGGGTGGAGCTGTTCCAAAAGGTCAAGGTCAAGGTCACGGATGAGAAGGACGAGATGACGGGTAAGAGGGGTGTCAAGATGGAGCTTGTTAGCGTTTGAGGGGGGCTCTATGATGTGGGAACGAAAATACGGAATTCTTGGGTGTTTTGAGATGTTGAAGTAGAAAGATGGCAAGAGATTTAGCCAACCTAAAAGTTCTAGAAATGAACGCGTTTATTTATGCCTACTCGCGGTTTGCAATATCTGGTGTGTGAAATGAGAATAGAACTAGTCTTTCCGTTGTTTTCATGCCTCGATTCTATGTTTCCGAGGAAGCACCCTTTAACATCACAAGTTTGAGGGATAGTATCAGTTCACGTTTGCTTATCTAGAGTATCGTACACAGACTGTGGAGACGCATATCAATCATCAGCAAACTCATCCCGCGTCCATCTTTACCTCAACCTCGTGTACTAAACATCCGACCACAGATAGAAGCACACCAAGCCCGAAAAAACAAAAGCATGTTCAGCGAGCCTGACGAACAGGCCTATGAACCTGTTCCCACAACAAGGACTTGCGGAGCAAAGACCTCAGATCACCCTGCGTCTCCGGATCGACAGGCAACTTGGACACGAGGTCCCGTCCGTAATCGAAGTTGAGCCACGGCTGAATGACTTTGCGGTCGTGGATCATACGCAATACAAACTCCTGCGTCCACACTGAGGGCGCCCAGACCAGCTCTTCCAGGCCTTGGCTCATGGCTTCCTTTACGAGCTCGATCCACGGCTTTCTCGACCGGATCGCGGGCTTGTTCCGCCTACGCACGACCGTGAATGTCACGCGCTGCTGCAAGCTCATGTGCGGCAGGTCCGGGCAGTCGTCGAGAACGTGAAGCTTTGTGTTATGGATCGGACATCCCATGATGGTGCCGTTGTCGTCGGGAAAGACGCAGTCGCCGAGCCAATGTCCGGCGTGACCGCAGTTGGAGCAGATGTTGTCAGGGTCAAAGCGGTCGCCGTACAGGAATTGCGAGGTAGTAATTTGGTTCTGGGTCCATTCCTCGCTTGTCATCTTCACTTTGCCATGAAAGGGCGGCCTGTGGCGGCGGATGTCGGTGTCGTGGTAGACCTTGTTTCGCTTCTGACCACCACTGCTCAGGTACTGGGAGGCTTTCGAGTTCGCTGCTGGACCCAAGGGAGCGTGAGGCGGCGCCGACTTCGCTTCATCTTGAGAGGTTCTGTCTTGTGGCTTTTGCTGTGTATGGTGGGCGCGATTGGCGTTGTATCTACCACTGGAGGTGCCTCGGAATGATCTCGTAGAGGAATCTTGGTAACATCCCCCCCTCTGGATCCCCGACTGGGAAGTAACGGGTCGCTGTGTATCTCTGTGGGTGTCGTCGCGATGGTCACGGTCATAGGAGCTGGTGTGATTAGGGCGGTTTTCGTTCCAACCACCGCGGTCGATGGAGCTGCTTCGATGTCTAGAGGGAGGCCTGACGAGTTGCTCGTCACGATCAGGGTGCATGCCGTGCTGATCCTCGAGCTTCTGAGTATCAGAGTAAGACCCCAACTTGGAGTCGTTGAGGTTCGGTCGTACAGGCGAGTACGACGTGCCTTGACATTCTCGATCAGAAGACCCCTCTAGAATCGACAGCTTTTCCTTCAGCTTCTGAATCTCCACGCTGCGCTCTTTGTCATTCATTTGGGCTGATTCGCTCCCAGGCGTGTTGTATTTCGTGACCAGACTTTTTGACGGTCTAATGTCGTGTGGGTGCATCAACACGGTGCCATGTGGACCATTATTCGTCTTGGGTCTCTTGGCCGGGTTGCTGTCTCTTTCCTCCTCGATTCTGGATCGTTGACCGTCATCAGACCCGTAATTCAAAGCGCCAGAGCTTGAAGTGGGAGGTCTGGATCTCTTCATTTCGAGAGGTCGTTCTGACGTGGTCGTGGTAGGGATAATGCTGTGAAGGTAGGCCGCTGCGATTGGTAGGATTCGCAAAACGTGTTGGGCAAGTGAGCTTCTGGCGACAATGTAGACAGAAAACTTTCTTCCTTTCTATATCCAGCGCTATTAGAAGCCTGATCAATGTTCTGTTGTTATGTGAATGGAAAACAACGTGATGTTGTGAAGCGAAGGTGGGAGTGAGGTGCAGGGCAGGGGCGTTTGCAGCTAGGAAGAAGATGGGGACGACCTCACCAACCTCCGGCATCTACACGTCACGTGGGTACGTACTCTGAGTGAATTGCAATAAGGTACCTAAGGTACACTACCTAGGTAGTTCCCGAGCATGATTCACCTGTTTCGGGAAGGGGCGTTTGATAGAGAAGGTAGGCGATGCAGAAATCACCTCCTTATCTTACCGCATCTGCCCAGGTCATGAACATGGTCTCAACAACTGCCTGTGATGTGAAATCGCGCGCGAGAGAATGAAAGCAAATTTCGTATCACTTTCGAAGGCAGCTCTATGCGTGATTCGGGTTTGGGAGTAGGTGGGAATATGCCGCTACATCAACCTATCATGGACTGATCTGAGAACAACGTACTAGATCCTTGATATGAATGAAACAGCCTTTGCGAAGAACTATCGTTCGAGATCACCGAAGTCAGTAGGATTGTCAAGGATATGGAGCGACCTGAAGTTCCGTACAAGGCGAGGGCGCCTCTGGTAAACAATCCATCATGTACCCAGTTGACGTAATAAAGCGAGTGTTTCATAAAACAACGACCATAGATTACATTGATTCCCTTTTATGAGGGGTATGACTGGTTCCAGAACTTTTATCTTTCTAAGTTCTCACGAAAATAGTCTGGGGAGTAGTACCAGAGGTAACGAGAGCTTCATAAGTATTGGCAGCCTTGTTCTATGACCTTTACTACCATCATCACTACTACGACTGGCATTATAATGGATGTCAGTCAGTAGTCCCCCGAGTATATTCCTCATATAATATCTATGAAATAACGACAAAGAAGGAGAAAGTTATAGTATACACTGTAAGGTAGTTAGCGGATTATTTTATCACCCAGTTGTCCAGACCTGCCTTCTCCTGGGCGAGTGTCCGACACCACTCGGTGAATGCATTCCCAAAGGAGGAGCAAGCGCCTCGGCCGTCCCTTCCTACAATATTCAGCCTTCACCTTCACCACCCTCTTCTTCCCCACAACCCACCCAAATCAACACCCATATTACGCAACTATCCAAAGTCAATCTCCTTCCCAGGTTTGCCCTTCCAAAGTGGACCTTCCATCGTCTGATTTACTGACACTTCATCCATAGAGTGACTAAGGATGGAGGGTGACAGCGAGTCTGCTGCTGAGGCACTCTCGCAACCACCGGCCAAGCGAATCAAATTATCGTCATCTGCCCCGGAAAACGTCAAGCCCGTCTTCGGACGCCTCGATGTCGCCTTGAATACCGACGACTCTGGAGACGTCACCGTCAATGTCAGCAACACCAGACGCCTTGGCAAGCCCGTGATCGACCACCTTTCGGATGAGACTTTCGCATTTCACGGATCTCGCCAGCAAGTTCACGCTATGATTGACAGAATTCTCGACTATAGCGAGAATTCCATCATCACGGGCATTGTGAGCCTCCAACCTGACACCAGCGAGTCGGCACCACAGTCAAAGACGCCCATCACAACCGAGGTACTGAAGTCGACAGCTACGGTAGCTACGGTATCTGAGAGCCGGGCAAGCCCAAATCCAGACACGTCAATGAGTGAGAGACTAGCGAAGTCTACTGCCACAGAGGTAGAAGCATCTGCCCATGAGGGACCATCAACACTTGCGGTTACGCCCCAGTCTCAGCAGACCTCCAAAGTCGTCGCCACCCCGAAGCCAGTTACACCGCAGAATTCATCGCTTGTTCTCACACGGAGTGATCTGAAGACTGCATTCAGAGCATGGATGGCTGGTGGACAGCGGGTCACAAAGTTACTGACGCTACTGAAGAAGCTTCCGGAGAGCGACAGCCCAAATCCCTCTGTGGAGTGCATGGTTCTTCAGAAGCTAGCTGGAAAGAAGCCAGACATGATGGTCGGCGATCTTTTAGACGTGTTGCGATCTTGGATGACTTCAGACTTCAAGCGTTGGGTCCAGCTAAAGCACATCAAAATCGGAGAGAATTGGATGCATTTCATCATCTTGAGGCGACTGTGGTTCTACTCTGGTTAGTGATCCAATTATCCTTTTAGCCGGTTGATTAATCATGGAAGCCCTTACTGATATCCAGACTACTGGGACACTTCAGATAAGGTTAAAAAAGCCGACTTCCCTTGGGTTGAGATGGAACCCAAGTGGTCTGAGGGCCAGCCCTACTTGGCTTACGCAACTTTCAGGGAGCACAACCGTGTCCCGATGAATTTGGTCTTCAATTGATACCGCGGGAGACTGAGATTGCCATGGCTACGAATTTCAGCAAATCAACCACCAAGCGCGAGGTTCTCGACTGCTGAGCTGTGATTTGGTATTGCATCATGGCCCTCTTGTGGATCGCCATCTGAATGCACGCCTTTAGATGTCGTTGGACGGATGGAAAGCAGGAGGTCGCTCGGGATGGCAGAATCGTCTATAATCCTATAAGGGCCAAATCAAATGAAAGCAAGAGACAATCCGGGTGAAGGTGTATGTGCAGACTTGAACGAGGATAATGGGCTAAATCGCCATTCTTTACTTTTATTTTTCCCTTGGACCGCCCCAATAAACGCCATGTGAAATAAAATGAGGAATCTAACAGCCAGCCAGGCTCTTCATGAGGGAGTCAAAACCCAAGAAATGGGAACACAGCATCTCTCCACTTTCTCTTTTGATATCATGTACTCCTCCGTCTTCTCCCACTATGTTCTCTCCATTACTATACCACCCCTTATTGCTCCATCGCCTCATCCTCATCGCCAGCAGCAGCAAGACCACTGAACAAATCACCGAGGTCGAACTCCTTGGCCCACTCCGTGACAATAGTCTTCTGGTCCGCGGCAGCAACGTCGTCAGCGACGGGAGCAGCAGGCGCGGCGCCCTGGGCATCGCTCTGGACAGCGAGGACAGGCGCCTCGACCCAGCCCTGGATGCGGCCGTCGCGCCAGTCGGTGACGACGGTCATGGCGGCGGCGTTGATGTTGGGGATACCGCCGCGTCCCAGACGGCCGCGCTTCCGCGCGACCTGCACCAGGAAATCGGTCGTGATGTCGCCGTCGGCGCGGCTGGGCAGCAGCGTCGGCAGGTCGTAGGCGTCGGTCAGCTTCTGCAGCAGGTCGGGGGAGGCGGCGAGGCGGCGGAGGAGGAGGGTGACGGCCGGGATGGGGTCCTCGATGTTCTTGGGCGGGACGGCGTTGAGGAGGACGAGGTGGGCGTGGGCGTCCGTCGCGTTCTTGAGGGAGACGAGGCCCGACGTGGAGGCGTTCTTGGCGGAGGGGAAGACAATACCGGGGGAGTCGAGGAGGGTGAGCTTGCTGTCGATCTTGACGGCGCGGATGCTCGTGGTGACGCCGGCCTCGGCGCCGGCGGGGCAGGCCTTTGAGGCGCCGCGGCCGCCGGAGAGACGGCCGAGGAGGGCGTTGATGACGGAGGACTTGCCGACGTTGGGGTAGCCGATGACGCCGACGGAGACGGCGCGCTTGAGCTGCTTGCTGGCGGCGTAGGACTTGAGGGCGCGGAAGAGGTCGGACGACGTCTTTTGGACGGTGAGCTCCTTGTGGTTGAAGGTGTGGGCGTTGGGCGCCGGGTTGGAGGCGCGCAAGGGCAGGGTCGGGAAGGAGCGGCGGAGGTGGACGAGCCAGTCCTTGAGGACCTTGGGGGGCACAAGATCGATCTTGTTGACGACGAGGATGAGGCGCTTGCCGCCGCTGGCAGCGGCCATGACGCTGCGCTCGACGTCGCGGGAGCGGGTGGATTCCGGGTCGCGGGCGTCGAGGACGTAGAGGATGACGTCGGCCTGCTCGACAACGTTCTTGAAGACCTTGTCAAAGGCCTTGCGGGAGGTGGCGTTGCCGACGGGGATCTCGGCGGGCGCGTCAGAGTCGTCGCCCGAGTCGTCGTCCGAGTCCATCTCGTCGTCATCGTCGTCGCGCAGCTCCTTTTCGTACGTCTCGGCGGCGGCCCTCGCGCTGCGCAGGAGGGCGGCCATGGGGTTCGAGTCGTCGCCGTCGTCCTCCTCCTCATCGTCGTCCTCGACCATCATGTCGTCGTCGGCCACGTCGACCTGCTGGCCGGTCGCACCGGCGACGGTGGCGCCCGTCTTGGCGGCCTTCGCCATCTCGCGACGCTTCTGGTTCTCCTCCTGCTTGCGCAGCTTGTTCTCCTCAATCTCCTCGAGGATCTTCTCCTTGTAGGGGAACAGGTTCGGGATACCCGGGTCCTTCTTGAGCTTGGTGCGCCATTCCGGGTTCTGCTTGGCCTTCTTTCTGTCTTTCCTCTGCTTCGCCGCCGATTTCTTCTCGATCTTGTGGCGGAGGCGGACCGTCGTCCTCTTGGACTTTGGCTCTGCAAAGATGCTGTTAGTCAAAAAGAGAACAACATAAAAATACATTGAGCAATTCAGAGGATACAGTCACATACTCTTGGGTTTGTTAATTGAGCCAGCCATCGTGATATCTGGCCAAGGTGACTTTTGGCAAGATTTTTGTTGTACTGGGGTGAGCTTCGATTGATACTTTGCTACCCTCGACCGCCGCAAAACTTTCCTGGCGCTTCGCCCAGTCCTTGCAGTAGCAACTTTCAAAAATTTAGTGGGAGGTCGGGTTCTGCCAGTCCACACCGCTCCTGCTATCGCTATCGCTCCCCACCAAGATATCCTCACCGCCTGACGCTAATCCCAATGAAGGAGCCCCGCCATGGTCAGCTTTGCCCCGCGACGGCTGACATAAGAAAGAAAAAGTCGATGGGTAGAAAAAAAAAGGCGTGCTGGAACCGGTGGATCACAGACGCTCAGCGCTGCCGCGGTGCCGCTGCCGCAGCGTCAGAAGGGGGCCCTTCCGGTGGACAGAAATGCCCATCTCGGGGTTTTTGGCCGCTGGAAAGATGCCGCAGCTCAAATAGCGGGCTGGTCAAAGGCGGATTACCAAGGTTGTCGTTGCCGACTCGGAACTTCAACGATCCATTCAGAGTCATATCTCACTCAACTTCAACTCGTAATCTCAACTAGACTCTTGAATACAATAATTTTATCTTCACTATCCATCTTAGACCACATCAAAGACCATAAACATAAATCGAACATATAAAACATTCATCTCTTCAGGTACACACCCACAACTCACATCAGAGGGATAACCGCTTACCCTGTCTACCAGAGTCAACCATGTCGTACACGGCCCCTCCACAACGCATCACCTTTGATGGCTTCCTCTTCGACATGGACGGCACCATCATCGACTCAACAGAGGCCGTCGTGAAGCACTGGCACACGTAAGGAAACCAACAAACTCACTCCACCGGTTCATCAGCATCATCATCACCATGCATCCCTTGCATGAGGGGTCACCCTCTCTCTCTCATCTCATCTCTCAAAAACCCCACTAACACCGGCCTTTCTCTTCTCCCTTGCAGCGTCGGCAACGAAATAGGAGTCGCGCCCGAAGTCATCCTCGAGACCTCGCACGGCCGTCGTAGCATCGACATCTTGAAGATTCTCGCCCCTGAAAAAGCAAATTGGGAGTGTGAGTACCTTACCTCTACACACCCCAAAAAAAATCTCAGATCTCTGTTTTGTCTGATCTCGCGTTTTTGGTTCCTGTTCCTGTTCCTGATTCCGATTTCCCCCCTTGCCTTGCTTCACCTACCTAAACACGACTCACCGGCGCGCCGTCTGTCAGGTTTCCCCAACTTTTTTTCATGCATGCTCACCTACATGACGCAAGGGGGGGAGATGAGACGGTGATGAACTCAGGGGTTCGCGAAGAAAAGGCTAACAGGAGATGAACAGACACGCGTGAGATGGAAGGCCGCCTCCCGAAACTCTACGGGGGAGACGCCGTCGAGATCCCTGGGGCAAGGGCACTCCTCGACGCCCTCATCGCGAAGTCGGCTCCCTGGGCCATCGTCACCTCGGGGACGGAACCCCTTGTGGGCGGGTGGCTCGACGCGCTCAAGCTGCCGCAGCCTCAACACCTCGTCACCGCCGAGTCCGTCGAGAACGGTAAGCCGGACCCGACCTGCTACCGCATCGGCCGCGCGAAGCTCGGCCTGGAAGACGCGTCCAAGCAGGTGCTCGTTCTCGAGGACAGCCCCGCCGGCATCAGAGCCGGTAAGGAGGCTGGGTGTAAGGTGCTGGGCCTCGTCACGAGCCACACCGTTGAGCAGGTCGTGGACGCGGAACCCGATTGGATCGTCAGAGACCTCGATTCTGTCAAGGTCGTGGAGAGTCGCGACGGTGTCGTCACGCTGGAGTTTACGGACGCCCTCGTTTCGAAGCCTTAGTGTAGTTGTCTACAGCTGACTGACTACTCTGGCGTGAGGAATGGAGGCTCTGCTAATGAATCGATAGAGCAAGAATAGACTTGGCCTGTATAGACTTTAGTATGACAACATCGTACGCTTTTCACCGTTCCCTTGGCCCTTGGAGCCAAATCAGTCCTCGAAGCCCCATACAAGGGAGTAAAGGAGACAGAGGATGAACGGCAAAACCTATCAACCGGCCAGTGCGCGAGAAAGGGCAAACACAAACTAATCTTCTTTCCCCGCCGTCGTCTCATCGAGGGAGCACTCGTTGGATTCAGATGAGAAATAGTTCTCGAAACGGAGTCCTCTTTTCCCCAAGCCTGAAGATCCCTAATAAGCTGTGTCGCGTGAGATCCGTGATGTTTATTTTGATCCGGGGCAGCAGCCCCAGTGCAACAACAAAACAAACATCATCATCCGTCTACCTTCACCAGGGAGGCGTGTGCCGAACCGAGTTAAGGTACCTCAAAGGACCCAAGACAATGTCTTTAGCCTTGGAGACAAAGTCCCGCCGTACGTCGTGTACTCGACATGTGCAACCCCAGGATCCAAGAATACCCTCCTTCAGCCGAGTCAGGTGAGTCCCTGACTTCAACTCCTCTGGCCGCCGCTCCATTGATTTCGCCTACAAACGCGGGAGTGTTGGAGGGGCTATCACAAAGTACCTTGCTTCGACGATGATCTAGCTCAAGGTGCAGGAAAGATCGAGCACACATTTGCAATACCTCCGCGTCTTGTCTCGTCATTGTCCCATGTTGCTCGGGGCCCTACCCCCCAACCACGGGTGATTGCTGCGATCTCGCGACCTTGGAAGCAAGAGGGGGAAAAAGCAATGTTAAGAGGTCTCAGCCCGGTCGATGCACCGCATCTGGATAGACAAAAAAGCAACCCGCAACCGCAAAAGCCCGCGGTCGTTTCACGAAAAAGGAGCCCGTATACGAGAGAGTCTGAGAGAGCGAGCTTGCCGAGCGTATCCGGTACACTGGTCTCTCGTTGACCTATCTTGGTCTTTGCAGAGCTGAGCGGAGCGGTCCCGAGACCGTGGATGTGGCGTAACTTTGCATAACGAACAAACCCGCTGCGGTCTAAGGTATCACAATGGCAAACTACACCGGTCTGTGGCCACCTTTCGTAATTCGGAGCTGCAAGGTCCCGAAAGCACCAATATCACCTGTCAGCTTCGGAGCTTCATGCTGACGGACCTGGCTGCTTGCAGGCTGTGTGTGTGTGTAGGGATGTGTGTGCGCTCTGCTCTCTCAGGGCACCAACTTTAGACAAGCTTGCGAGGCGAATTAGAATTCGACATCTTGCAGACAACTTCGGAGATCTTCGTGCTTGAGCCGTGGGTGTGTCGCTCCAAGTAGTGAACATGTGTATCCCGTTGAGTGGAACAAGGTCGTCTATCAATACTCCTCGGGACGTTGTACTTGGTGAAAAAGGGGTAGCACAGCAGCGGAAGGATTCCTCCCTCCTCCTGACACAGCACAGTTGTAAGTGTCGATGCCTTGTTTGCTCATGGGCAAAGCAAGATTACCGGTGGCTGCAGGTACGATCAACTACAGAGATAATCTAGCGGATGATGCCGAGACAGCTGTACACTCAATGTCTAGGCGAGGCAGAGACGACGAGTGTATCTTCGTCGGTACAGGAACCCAGGCGGGGTTTGTTTGCTGACAGCGCAGCCATCCACAAAAAATGAAATAAGCAGGCGTCCGACGATGTGATTCCGACATGTAACACAGCGGACGCCAGCTTTTCGTATGGGCGAATGCAGGAACATGGAAAGCTAAGCCAACATAGGCTTCGCGCGCGAAAATGTCATTCTCGAAACCATCAGGTGGAGGGCTGATGTGGACAGCCTCCAGGCTTAGTATGATGTTAACTTTTGAACCGTCTTTGATGCTGCAGGTACACGAAGGGCCGGGTCAGTTGAGCGACATCTCCATATCGTTGAGGCGGCGCGCTAGCAGAACACCGGAAGGGATGACAGCAATCTCATTTTGAGCATAGTTGTCACCACGAGACAATTCATGAGGAGATTGAAACACGGAATACATCTCATGCCTCCCTGGGTAGCGAGTCCTTTGACGGTGACAGCTCCGAATGGCGTTGGAGCGCTCGAGTAGTGTAAGCTGGCGAGCGAAGGCCGCCGACCCACAGGACGCAGGTCATCGGGCCGGCAGGCAAAACCGCGCGGCTGTCAAAGGAAAGGAAAAAAAAGGGGGGGCATCTGGTGTTTGCTTCCCGGCGACGGCCTCTATTTTCGCGCGTTTAGCATCCGGCATCCACCTGTCCCCAGAACTTCAGAGAAAGGTTCCAAAGCTTCCAACACGGTAGACGTCGTCCGGCAGTATCCGCATTGTTTGCACCGGTTCGGTACTCGGTAGCGGACTGAACAAGACTGACTCGAGCTGGCCATGTCGTGAGGCTGTGCTCAGTTTAGCGAGCGAGAAGGAAATTGTGTCGTCGCAGAGATGGGGTACTGTCCGTACAAGTAAAATGTGTGGAAACTAGAGCACGCACCAGCCCAGTCGAATGCAAGTGTTGTCTGCGTCGCACGCGTCCTCCACGGGTTCCTTTACTACGGCCGTGACGAGGACCCTTGGTCGAGTTTAATGAGAAGCATGGGCCTGCGGCTTGTGCGCATAACGAAGGGGCACAAAATCCGGCATGCTGTCCCCGTGCCCCCATCATCCCATGCCTGGTTGTGAACTTGTGAAGGAACAAAAACGAGCCCTCGCAGACTCCTTGTCCTTGGCCCCCTCCACAATGCAGGGGCAGGGCCAGCACCTCATCCATCTCGTCAGTCGTCACTGTCGGCACCGCACGTGGCCGCCAGGGCCCGATTTTGATCCCAATCTCCCGCTTGCCGCTGTTTCCACCTTGGACGTTGGAGCAGAAAAAAAAAGTTGATCAGGATCTGGATCATGGATGCCACTATCCATCTGTTGATTAACCAAGCCACTCTCTGCCTCGTATATCGTCATTGCGTTTTAATAAACTCGAATACTCGTAGCCATAAAGAAAAATCGATTCTTGGGGGTTTCCTGCGGCGATGTTACCGCAAGAGGCCGTCTGTAATCACATCTCTCTTCCAGTGCCCGCTGTCCGGAGTCAAGGTTGGAGGGATACCGAACCCCTTTATTGTGCATATCGTGAAAGGGAAGAGGGAGAAAAAGCTTCATCTCCCGTGTGCATGTTGGAGCCATGCATGGCCATGACTCCTCTAGTCGTTGTGGAAGTCTTCCTGCACGCTATCTCAGTCGCTTGGTATTTTTGTGTGTTGCGCGGATGTTCCGTGGTGTTTGCTGGCGTCACGCCTTCGACACTGGCGTCAACCGCCGGCGTCTTCGATACTAGACTAGGCAATTGCATCCTCTCTCGTTTCCCGCGTTCCAGAAGGTAGCTTTCCATGCCGGCTCGGTACCATATGGTGGGCATCTGTCGTCCATTTTTCCTGCGTTGGACGGTTGGAAGCTTGAGCGATGGCGAGCCGATTAATCGTACTCCGCAGTTAGTCGCTCTCCGCGAACAACTTGAACTTCATCCACGGCGTCGGGTTCTTCGTCCTTGCAAGGAGACACTAAAATAGAAGTGGTTACACTCGGAACTCATCCAGTCCACATGGTACTCCGTATGTCTTCCTTGCCGAATATCATCTCCGGGGGAGGGCTCGTCAAATAGTCAGAGTGGAACGACGGGTAGATGTCTGACGAGCAGATTACATCGACTTCTTGAGGCGCAGCCTGATCCAGTATGGCGTTTGAGAGCCGCCGGGAGAAGTACCTACTTCGGCAAACCATCACCAAGTTCGACAAGGGGAGAAAGAAAGAGGATTACGGATAAAATTCGTATATTGCACATAGCTTATGCTGAGAAAACAGACTTGTGCAACAGGCGTCGGTGAAAAGACGGTGAGATGATCGATCCGGCATCGTTATACAATACCCTCGCTTCGCCGCTCATCGGCCTGTCATTGTCTGTTCGAGCTCCTCCGGCCGGTGATACTGATCCGGTCCATCTTTGCTTGGCAATTCGACGTGAAGACATTGGCATCAGCGAGTCTTTCCGAGCCAGCGAGCAAGGGTTGGATCTTCAGATCGCTCTAGCCATAGCGCAACGTCAGGAGAGCACTGCTTCGCAGTACTCCGTAGAGGCTAGAGTTACTCGTCAAACGCCGACGTGATGCGTGATAAGCGTGCTGTAGCAAAGACTAAGACTGACAGTCGTAGGCCGCCCAATCAGCACGGACAAAGGTGCCAAGTATCTGGGACGAAGTGAGACAACATCTTCTTTCCGCTTTGCTAGCTTTACAAGCGTTCCGCTCTCCAGGAAACGCCATACACCGTTCGGCGCCGTTGTCCTCATGTCCCGCCTTGCCCCGAAGACCGCTGAAAAGCGGCGTGTCTGATGAATTCGCGCAACATCGTAGACTGAACTTGCCCTTTGCCCGAAGGGTGACATGTCGACGAATCGTTCTGGGCCCCCAGCCCTTCGCAGGGCCATGCATCGCTTGATACTGAAGGCGAATCAATCGAATCGACCCTGCTGAAAAGGCTTTGTTGAGGACATGAAATTCCGCCTCCAATCGTTGCACCTGCGTTGCCTTGCTTTCTGTCGTCCACTGCCGCCAATCGCATCTCGTGAATTCCAGCCTCCGCCCTCCAACGGGACTCAGGTGCAGCATTGGCTAGACATCAAGGACGGCCAACGATGTCTTGGGGCTAGGTAGTACTCCGTATGTAGAGGGTCCACCTTAAAGAATCGCGAAGCGGCTTCAGTGGTGAGGTTACAACGCCCACGGATGAGCGATGGTCCGGAGACGCCCCCACACCACAGTCTGGCTAGGTGTGCTGCCGCGTGTATGTTCTGGCCCTGTGTCGCAGTGCATCCCGTCTTCCGCACTTCACTGTGTGCACAATCTAGGCCCAGTGAGACCGAGATCGCGGAAGAAGTTCTTGATGAGAGTGTGGCCTGGAACGTCCAAGTTGTCAAGCATGACAAGGCGAATTGTGCGACTTTTGGTCATTGCTGTCTGCTGGCTTGGCACGGTTGGCGGCCCGAATGAATCCAATTCGCCCGCAT